CTTTGAGTCTGATGATGGCGAGGAAAATGGCCGAACAGAGCCGCCCACCTCATGGCCAGGAAGCTAAAAGAGGGGAAGAGGAAAGGACTGGGGTCCCACTATCCCCTTCAAAGACGTGTCCCAGTGACCTAAGACCTGACACAAGGCTCCACCTTTTAAAGGCCCCACCACCTCCCCATAGTGCCAAGCTGGGGACGAAGCCTTTAGCATGTGGGCCTTTAGGAGGACATATAAGATCCAAATAGCAGAACCTTTAAGAAAATGGCTAATATAAAATGAGGTCATAAGGTAGGACCCTCATCAAGCAGAACTGGTGTCCTCATGAGAAAGGAGGAGAGGGCTTGGCATTGCTCACTGGTAGAGCGCCTGCCTGCCATGTGTAAGGCCCTGGGTTCCATCCTCAGCAACGCAAAGGAGGAGGAGGGGGAGGGGGAGGGGCAGAGAGGGAGGGGGAGGAGGAGGAGGAGAAGGCACAGGGGGAAGAAGGAGGAGGGGCTGGGGCCAGACACTAGGAGTCACACGCACAGAGGAAAAGCCAGATGCAGACACCGGGAGAAGGCAGCCATCTAAAAGCCAAGGAGAAGGGCCTCAGAGAGACAGACCCTGCCCACACCTTGATCTTGGACTTAGAGTCTCCAGAACTTGAGAAAACAAATGTCGATGGTTTCGACCCCCAGCATGTGGAGGGGTTTGGGCAGCCCTAGCAGGCTGATACCAGGCAGCTCTCCCACACACATACAAACAGCGTATACAGGAAATTCCTAAAAACAATTACCTACGGGGGTCTGAGGAGGAGGCTAATGAAAACAGCCGTGTCTGGTACACAGCTGTCTGAGTGGTTGTCACCGGGCATCATAGACTGCGTTAGCAAGACATCAGATGACTTTCGGTGTAACACCCATGTGCAGGTTCTCTCAAACACGTGTGTACTCATGTTTTAGATTTATCTAAACGACAGGTGCAAAGGCATCATTCAAAGCTAACTGTGTGCCGGGTATGCATCTAATGTATTTCACTCAATTCTTAGACTTGTTTAAGATCTATGCACACTGGTGAATATACATCTAGTTTGCAGATTCTTCTTTTTATTTGTTCTAGTCAGTTACACACAACAGTAGAATACATCTTGACACATCATACATAAATGGAGTGTAACTTGTCATTCTTCTGGGTGTACATGATGTAGAATCCCACAGTCGTGTAGTCACACATGTACACAGGTAACAATGCTCAATTCATTCTACTATCCTTCCTCCCCCCACACCCCTCCACTATCTTCACTCCCCTCTGCCTAATCCAAAGTACCTCAATTCTCCCCTAGTCCCCCTACTTTGCAGATTCTGACTGCTGGGTTGCCGTTGCCTACATCAGAGTTTACTTCCCATCCCCCCAGAGGTGGAACCTAAGGACCTCCAATGTCCTGACCAAATAATTCTGCACTTAATCTTCTTGAAGATGTCCCTTTTGGACTCTCACCAATGAGACTGCTGCAGCCTTCCACATGGATACAGTATCTTGACTAAACTCTGCCTGATGGTTCTCCAAAGTCACTCTAACATCTCCACCCATAGACTGGTTACCCACATCCCGGCCGACACCCAGCACTATCCAGCTTTCCCACATTTCCAGGACAGTGAGTGCAGGGGAATGAGTCCCCGCTAGGCTCCCCTGAGTCTCTGTGATCCTCCATGAGTTGGAGCCTCTTCATTTACAAACTGCTTGGGTTTCCCCTTCTGCGAAGTGCTTATTTGTCTATTTTGCCCAGTTTTCTACCGGGCTCTTTGTCTTTTTCTTAACAATTCGTAGGACTTCCTGCAGAGTCTAGATTTTAGTCATGTGTTGATTTTAAATGCGGCTTCTATGACAGTCTATAGCAGCAGGGTTTCTCAGCCTGGGCCCTGTTAACATTAGGCCTGGTAATTCTTTGTCGCAGGGCAATCCTGTGCATTGGAGGATGTTAGCAGGACCCCTGTCCTCTGCTCAAAAGAGGCCAGTGTATGTCCCACATCCAAGCAAAGATGACTTGAGAAATCGCTATATGCCTTGGGAGATAAAGTTGCCCTCAACCACGGGTCCACAGGTTATGCCTCCACCAGGTTAGAGTTATCTAACACATTGACCAGGAATCCATCATTTCAGTAACGTTCATTAATTTTTCATATTGTGCCATGTGTTTGGGAGGTCTCTTTTATAAAGACTTCCTCACTCCTAGGTTACAAAAGTGTTCACCTATATTATCTTCTATCCGTTTTATTGTTTATCTTTTAACATGTTAGTCGTTATCTGGTGTCTACTTTTGTATTCTGGGCTAACTAGGAATCTAGCTATACTCTGACACATATACTCTGATTCCAAAGCCACTTCCAATTCAATGGCACCTTTCCCTTTGATCTTGACGCCATATTTATCACATCAAGTTCCAATATATGCACAGTCTGTCTCTGAGCTCTCTGTCCTGTTCCACTAGACCACACTATTCTTTTATTACTATGACTTTGTCAGACATCTTAATATCTAGGAGATCAGAACTTTTATCTAAAAAAAAAAGTTGATCAGCTATTTGTGGACCTTTCTATTTATTCATGTCAGAATTGGTCTATTAAGTTTCTCAACACACCCATCTAGAATTCTCTCGTTCAATGCATCAAACTTATAAATTAATTTGAAAAGAATTGACATCAATGTTACATGTTATGTTCAATGGGCTCTCTCCCCATTTATTTAAAACTTCTTTTTATGCCCTCTAATCAAATTTAAATTTTTCTTCCATAGAGAGTTCCTTGACTAATTAATTCCTGTGAATAGCATCTTATTTTCTATTGTGTTTTATGGTTGGCATTTGCTAGTGAGGAGATGTGCTGTTGGGGATAGTAGTAGATCTTAGGGTCTAACGAACTGGCTGGATCTCATTAGTTCTAAAAGAGAATTAATGAAGTGTCTAATGATTCTGTTGATTTTTTTTTAAGACAGAGTCTTTCTAAATTGTCCAGGCGCCCTTAACATACAATCTTCCTGCCTCAACTTCCCGCGTATCTGTGATTACAAGTGGGCACCACCATACCCAGCTCACTCGGTTTTCTAAGATGATCATGGCCCATACAAAGAATGACAGCTTATCTCTTCCTTTGAGTCTACACTCCACATTAGTTTGCTGGGGCTTTCCATAACCAAGCACGACAGGCCAGGTGATTTAAACATCAGAAATGCATTCTCTCTCCATTCTGGAGGCTGGACATCTGAGATCAAGGTGCCAGTAGGGTTGGTTCCTTCTGAGGCCATCTCCGTGTGTCCTCACAGCCTGCCTTCCCCCTGAACCTCTCTGGGTCTCACCTCCTCCTGTAGGGACAGCTGTCATAATGGACTAGGGAACCTCACTGACTTCAATTATCTTTTTAAAGAGCCTGTCACCAAATGTAGCCACACTCTGAGATTCTGGAGGTCAGGACTTCCACATACAAAGGGAGACACAGTTCAGCCCATAACCACCTCCCACTGCGTGTTTTTGGCTTCACCTGCAATCATAACCCAAAATTCTCCATCCTGAGAAGAAAAAGCAAGACTCACACCTGCCCCTGAAGAGCCTCCCGTCCCCTCTGCCTCTGGCTCACATTCCCTCCATATCGTAAATCCGTATGTCCTTGCCCCCCAGGGTCTCCCCCCAGATTCTGTGCCAGTTCTCCAGCACCTCTACCCTGTCCTCTCCTTCCATGAAGCCTCTGAGCATTGCTGGCAGGGACAGGGAGGAGGTGGGAAGAGTGGTGTGAACAACCGGTCAGAAATCCCCAGAATCTGATTATGCTTCTAGCTCTCTTTGGTTGCAGTGTTGACACTGAATTAGCAGTGGACAATGGAAACTGAGGCTCAGAGAGGTTAAGGGACATGAAGAAGATCACACAGGTAGAATGGAGGAGAAGTGGGGCTGAGGCCAAGTCTTCTGGTACCAAGAGCAGTTTTGGCCACACCTTCCACTGGAGATGTCATCTGGGCTCTGCCACCATCCATGGAGAAACCCAGACAAGCAGGACCGCCTAGTGGAAGGAAAGAGGGTGGGTTGGGGCTGAGCCACCCACCAGGGGAGGCTGCTTCCAGGTGAGCAGCGGGTGAGGATGACTTGCTTTATCATGTGGGTACCATCTCTACAGATGAGGAAACTGACACCCAGAGGCTGAGGGCGTGCTGCTGAACAGCACCTGCTCCATGGCTAACTCAGAACAAAGACTGCTCTTCCAGAGACCCAGCAGCAGCATCCAACCACCCAGTCACAAGAGAATGCGCTCCCACCCAGTGAAATACTAGAAAGCATGAAAAACACATGAACAAGGACACCCACATGTGAAATAGCATCATCAGTGAAAAAAAAAAGCAAATTGTTAAAAAAAAAAAAAGAACGGCCCACGTGCAGTGTGAGGGTTCAGGGGTGACCGGGAGCAGGGAAGCCCTCACCCAGGGATTATGGCCTTGAGCGAGGAGACGATGCCTCTGCCCCTGCAATAGGGAGGGGACACACAGAAGGGTCCACTACATTGGAAATGTCCAGTGTCCTAGGACAGATCGAGTCCACCCATTTCACATTATTCTCTCTGCCTCGTTGCTTTCAAAATCCATATTCTAAGAATTTTTCATGATCAATTTTCTTTCCAAAGGTGATAAGACAAGTCATCACTGTCCTGTTCGTTAATGACTGTCTCCTCTGCTGAGCCATAGGGGCCCTTCTGGACCGCCCCCCCCCCCCAGCTACTCTGCTCTCAATTCCTGGTCCCTGGAACCTGGGTTCAACAATAAACGTGCATTGTTCTGTGAAGCTCTAGGGTTCAGGGGACATGCGTTCCACAGGAAGAGGAAACTATTAGGCTGAGTGTTCTTGAGCAAGCAGGGACACATGAAAGTGAGACTTTACCAGACTCTCTGGTGGCCTCCTAGGGACCAAATAGCTAATTTTTTTTTGATCTGCAAAGCCTCAGGCAGTTAGCACAAACCAGGAAGAGCCAGGGCCCCTGATTTGGCAGGCAGAACAGGCAGAGCCTCAGTGGATCATTCTTGGTCAATTCTGCACTTTTTTTCAACCAAATCTACTTGCCTCGAGGGGAAGCGTCCCAAGGACCAAAAGCAGACCTCAGGCCTCTCTGCAAACCTCCAGGTGGGCATAGTCATTGCTGGCACTTCAGAGAGGGGGACCCTCATGCTGCTGGGTCATACTGTACAGCCCAGAGGGACAAAGTGGCCAAGAATGGAGTCAAAGAAGAGCTCAAGAGTAGAACCAAAGAGAAGCTCAAGTCTTGCAGTTCTCCTTGCAGCTGGGGAAGACACTGCTCCAGGTTTGACATCCCATGTACCACCTTAGACACATGCTTCTGGTTAGCGCAGAGGTGAGGCTGGGAGAGTGATGGGTGGAGGGAGGGATTGGGAGAAATAACCAAACGAAAAAGGAAAGTATATTTGGAAAAGCAAAAGCAGCCCCCTTTTCCCTTGGGCTACTATGAAAAGCTGATTCTAAAAGAAAGCTCTGCTGTCGGCTGGTTAATGGGCTTTTTCCTAAAATGAGCTTTTGAAATTGTCTGAGAATTGAGAATTTGTGAGAGGGAGAGGGACAGGATTGGTCACCGAAATAGATACGGCCCCCTGAGTGGAAAATGTGTCCTCGCTCTGATGTACTCTGAAGAGCTCTGCTCGTGACCATGGTAGGGAGACACATCTTGGTTCAGAGTTGTGACTCCAAAGCCAAACGGACCTTCCCCATTTCTTGAGTGGAAGAGAGAAGAATAAGGAACTATCCTTGGGCACAGATGACACTATAATAAGAAAATCACCCCTGAAAGGCTTGAGAGAGTTGTTTTGTTTGAGGAATTTTTGTGTCTTTAAAAAAAAAAAAAAATCTTTCCACAGATCAAAACTTCAAAAACCAAGTAAAGCCTTTAGGGCTCAGGTTGTCCCTTAGAAGCTCTCCATGAACAGGTGGGGGACCTGAGGTCCAGAAAGGGGAAGCCATAGAGCCAAGGTCATGGCAAGGTTAAGGGCAGAGCTGAGACAGACCCAGGAACTCCCCTTGCACCTAGGAAGCCCTGCGATGGAGAGGGAGAACGGAATCACGTTAGTCAGCTAGGGGGACCGTCCACCTCCTGGGGAAGCCCGCCCAGGTCACACAGGATGCTGGCCAGGGTTCAGCTCTATAAGGCGGGAGCCAGCAGAGCCCGTGCCCAGGAGTAGCACCCGCATCTCCAGGAACTGATTTTTCTCCTGCCTGGGGTTAACCTGGACTTCCCCAGAAGCTGAGGCTGGGGATTGTCCGCTGAGAAGTAAGGAGGGAGTGCTGTCAGGCAAAGGAGGGGCCTCGGGCTGGAGGAAAAAGGTAAGGGGGGACCCTGGACAGGTCATTGCATCTCACTAGGCCTCCACTTCCTCTGCCTTAAAGGGAGCTAACAAATAAGCGTTTCGCAGTGAGCTGGAAATACGTAGGAGGTGCTAAACAAATGACTCAAACTTCAGAACACTGAGCTACGAAAACGGGAGGCGCCCCCCATACACACACAAACTCAGCTCCTGCCCCAACCAACCCCCCCTCCCCCCGGCCCCGGCTGCTCTTTGCAGCCTTCATGCACCAGTTTCCTAATGATGGAAATTCTGGAATACCCTCTTTCTTGACCATCAAACCTGCCTGAAGTTCCCACCAGGATGCTCCCTGGTTTCCAATGGGCTACATGAAATCCCAGGGGATTTGAGAACCAGGACACCCCCCCTTCCCTCCCCACCCTCATCTTGACGCCCCCTGGTGGGGCCATTGACAACAGTGGCAAGAGCATGGGTTCCCATGTCAGGCAGAGCCCCGGAAGCACCCTGTCCTTCCAGATCTTGAAAAGTGGTCAGGAGCAAGAGCCTGTGCACCACCCAGGCCTCTGCTACTGGCCAAAGGCACGTGACCCTGAGTTTCCTCATAGACAGGGATGCCTAGGCCAGCCTGGAGGTTGCTGGGGGGTTAAGTGAACAAACCGTGAAGAGTTTACCCAAGGTCCAGAACATAGGGAGTGTTCCAGAAAAGGCAGTTTTCAAAAAGTAGCTCCCCTGGAAACGTCAAGCTCTTCCAGGACTTTTTCTAGACTATTCCCTATTGTATGGGAATAAAAAAATCTAAAATATGAAACGCTCCAAAATTGAATTTTTTTAATACCAACATTCCCTTCGAAGTTTTGGATTTTGGAGCATTTCAGATTTTCGGATTAGGGATCACTCAACTGGTAAAAGTCTACCTAAGTATTCCAAAATTTGAAAATCTCAGAAATCTGAAACGCTTCTGATCACAAGCATTTTGGATGAGGAATATTCAACTGGTACTTCCTTTGCCTTCCCAGCATCCCAAGAGGGTCTGTAGATCAGGACTCCCTAGCACCATTTCACTGTGGAGAAAACCGAGTTTTGGAGAAGGGAAGTGACTTGCCTGAGGTCACATTGGGAAGGAGTGGAAGAGGGGCTGGGGCCTCCAAAGTCCTGTTCTGAAGGGTTGGCCTCCCGGCCCAGGGGAGGCACTGAACTACCACATCACAGGGCAATAGGCAGAAAGGGCTGACCTCACACCCAGCCAGGGTGGCAGTGTTCTCATGGAAAAGCAAACGTGACTCGGTTGCCCACGCCCCTCCCTGGCACCCAGGCTGACCACAGCTCAGCTGCCCTTGCCCACCGTGTGCTGGAAGCTGCTCGCTGTGGGAGCTGCAGAGGCGCAGGCCTGACTGCAGCCGGGAAGCCAGCGAGGCTCTGCCCCACAGTTTCCAGGATCTGACGTGGTGCCCGCTCCACGCACAGCGTCAGCAGGTTTACGGTAAAGTCACCGTGCCTTAGCTTCCGGCTCCAGCCCCTGGTCATTCACACTCCCTCCTGCTTCTAATACAGGAATGGAGAGACCCCAAAAATGAGGGTAATCACTGTTCTTATGTGGGCCCCACAAGACCCCGGATTAAACAGCACACCCTGAATCATCCAGGCCACCAGGACCCAGACCTGCAGCCCCTGGGATGTGGAGAACCCTCCAACACTGGCTAGCTCTGACAGGCAGATTCTCCAAAGGGCCAAAGAGGGACTGTGTTGGGTTTGGTGGGTCACATCCAGCTTCTGTCGAATATTTTTCTTCGTTCACTTTTTTTTCCCTCGTGGGATATGATACATGCTTTTTTTATTGGTGCATTACTGGGGCTCATTGTGACTGGTTCATAAATGCATATGACATAATTTGATCAAGCTCATTCCCTGGTCCTCACCTTCCTCCCCTCCTCCCTCCCCCTGACCCCCTTCTTCTACATTACTGGTCTTCCTTCCACTTATTTATTTTTAATTGGTGCATTATAATTGCACATAGAAGTGGGGTTCATTGTCATATATTCATACATGCACATAGAGTAGCTTGTCAGATTCCTGCTGCTGTCCCTTCTTTCCCTCACTCTTTCTTCATCCCCTCAGTCCCTACTGTCCTCCCCCCATTTTCATGAGATCCCCTTTTTTATTCCTTATTTCTCTCTAGATCCTACATGCTAGAGAAAACACCTGACCTTTTATTGAACCCTTTAAGAATGCAGAAAATACTCATAGTTCGGGGGCCATACCCAGCAGGCCGTGGTCTGTGGCCCCCTATCCAGCCCTCTCCCTGGGCAGATGGTAAACTGGAGGTCCAAAGAGGCTCAGTGCACTTGCCCAAGGTCTCCCAGCAACTCAGACTAGCAAACACGCCTGACCCCTGGCCCACTCTGTCTCCGGAATCAAAAACACTGTGTTCCATTCCTTTGAAAATCTATTAACCCCCAGTTCTCACCACAAAGTGCCATGAATTATTTTTTCAGTCTTCAACAATACAAATGCTATATAGGAATGCTACAGAAGGAAAAATGTCTAAAATCAAAATGAGCTGTGGTCGTTTCTGCCTTCAAAGATAGCCAATGTCGTTTGTATCCGAGGGGAGAAAAATCTGTGCAGTGCTCTCTTGTCTGGCAGCGTGGCAGGGAGAGAGAAACCATTTCCCAGCCTTTCCCAGACTCTCTTCACTAAGGAGAGGAGGGCAGGATGCTGGAGGAGACCGCCCGTCACTTCACGAAGTGTGGAGGCATGCAGAGGGAGGCCCCGCGCCTAGTGACTTATACGATTCAGCCTAAATGACTCCACTTGAGGAGAGGCTTTAGGGGGGACTAATAATGGGTAGTGGAGGCAGGGAGAGGAAAAACAAGATGGCAGAGCCCCCTGCAGAGTGGTGCAGACCCATGTTAGCATGTAGGAAGAATTTGTGTCAATAGGATCGAAGCTCCTGTCCATCGCCCAGGCTCCAGGAAATTGTGCTGCACAGGAACACCTTGTGTGAGCACTTTTATTTTCACTTTGCTTATTTTTGTGTGGTTTTTGTTTAATAAAACTGAAGGAAAGTCACCTGGGAGGGTGGGGCAGAATTGCGCTGCACACACAGGGAAGCCCAAGGACCAAGAAACAAATCAATAGAGACAGGAGCTCAGAGTGAAGGCCACCAGGCAAACAGGCCTGTCCCCACTGCAGTCTCCCGCCCCCTTCTGCCTGGTTAGCGACCTTCTCAGTTTCCCAGTTTCCCTTGCAGCTAGAGTGGACCCCGTGACATGGGTGAGGCTGATCAGACCCTGGCAGAAGTCCTAAAGGAAACGTGGAAGAGTTTCTTGATAAAGGAACAAGCGCGGCTACCGCCATTCTCTTTCCCTTCCTTCTCTCTTTGAACACACACACCACACCTGTGGCTGCTTTTCTGCTAGAACGTTCCACCAGGATGGAAAATTCCACATCTGCACTGGGCCACCGCGGTAGTCACTGCACCTGGGAACTGGATTATTTTTCATTTTCATTTTGAATCATCTACATTTAAATTTAAATGGCCACCTGTGTTTAGCAGCACCCTTCTTGGGCCAGGGCTACAGAATCACTCAATCTCTGGCTCTGAGGTTGAGCTCTCTCTCTCTCCAGACTCCTTCTAATATAAGATAAATAAATCACTCCTTTTAATCCGCCATGAATCAGGTTTCTGGGACCTGCAGTTAAATGTATTCTAACTGATACTGCCAGGGGGAGACTAGGAGGCCCAGGGCAGAAAGGAGCGGGAAGCCAATTCCTCTACCCTCCGACACAAACTTCTCTGATTAAAGGCACTCAGTTCTCACCCAGCCAAGGTGGGGGTAGCTGAGAGTCTAGGGCCAAAGTGAAGTGTGGAGCAAGAGGTGCCCGGCACCCCCATGTCCCAGCATGGGTCCTTTCCCTGCCACACCCACCTCTCGGGCAAGCCACGTCCTGCCGCCTCGGACATGCTCATCCCCGTGCGACCATGGAGGACGAGGGAGCCTCTCCTGCCTCGCTCAGCGAGCCATCTCAGGGCTCAGCTCAGAATGGACGCTAACACATTTTGTAAACAGTGAAGTGCCGGTGAGGAGATTCCTGGGGAACACCATCCCAGAAAAGACTAGAACCTCAGAGAGTCCACCACCTGCTAGGACAGGCAAGGACTGCTGGCATAGTGCTCTGGTTGGCTCCTGAGGCCTGGACTTGGTGGTCAGCTGGGAGAGTCCCACCAGCCTTGGCGAGGGCCACGTGGGGGCGTGACCAGAGGGCTCAGATCTCGTGGATCAGCAGGGAGCAGGAACAAGTACTGGCCCCTTGAGTGACCATCTCGGTGGGTACCTGGATTGACTGTGGATCGGTTCCCTGAACACCGGTCACATGACTGAAGCCTCACCCCTGCCCCACGGTAGGAAGTTCTACCCCCTAGTCACACGGGGTCAGACGTGAGCACAGAGGTCCGCAGGAGGCCAGCAGAGCTTCTGGGATCTCTTAGAAGGAGGGAGCTGGCAGAATGGTTCCTTCCAGGAAATGCAGAGAGAACCTCAGAGGCCCAGAGTGAGGGCACCCCTCAGAGGAGCAGAAGCTTGCGGAGCTCACCAGGGAGAGGACAGGGTGGGAAGCAGTTTGGTCCAGTAAAGCAGACTCCAGGCTAAAGAATGGAGCAGTGTCGGTCCACCTGACACAGGAATCTAGGGACACAGAGAAAACACCGAGGCTCAAAAGAAAAATGTCCATGAATCACTGAAAGGCAGAACAAGCAACCCCAGCCACATCCTTGCCCCTGAGGTGCTGCTGCCCACAACTAGCACCAAAACCTGCGAGATGACCAGAGGGCACCTGGAGGCACCACTCCTTGGGCTCCTTAGGGAGCAGATGTATGAAAGACAGGCGACCCAAAGTTATCCTTGCTTCGTTGTAATAGTAAGATGCCACCCTCAGGTGGGGATTTGAGGTGCTAATGAGACTCGAGATGCAGAAAGTAGCATGAATAGAACATTCGAGAACAGTGGGTAACCACAAGGAAAACTGGGGCGACACCATGTCACCCTGCCCTGACCGACTTTAGCTCAGCGCCCCCAGCTACTTTATAAATATTAGAACCCCAGATTGGGATGGAGTGACTCTCTTTCTCTGAGGTCACCCACATTCCCATTCTCGAGTTAGTACTTTCCCCTTTGTAATAAATCTCCTGCCTGCTCTTCATATCTGATGTCTCCTTAAATTATTTTCTGTGACAAGTCAAGCACCTGGAAGGTCCAAGAGGAGTTCTCCACTGGCTCTGGAGAGACCTCCTAAACCCCCTTATGGCAACACACCCACCTGCTCCCCAGATGCTGAGCGGATCTGTGCTAGCGTTAACTACAGACCATAAAGGATAATTGCTAGAAGAGTAACTATGACCCTCATCAAAGTCAATTTTACTTAGCTCATTAATTTGTGAGGGAACGTGTAAGATATCACAATAATTCAGAGAAGAATTCAAAGAACTATCCACAGCGTACACAAACAAGAAAGCCAAAGAGAATTCACAAACAGATGCTAAACGGGCTTGTCCCCAGGGGGTGTCCTAAGTCATTGGCATTTCCACCCGAAAACTTCATTTGCATATCTATGGGCAAAAAACATTTTCAGGGTGCTCAGTTACCTACAATGCACAGAGTTTTGAAAAGCTCAAAGGCTACGAGAGGCACAGAGGCCCCTTTACAAACACCCCGTGTTCCAGAGCAGCCGCCAGGTCCTATCTCTGTTACCCAGAGCCCCAGAGTTGTTATGGGGCCATTGGGATGGACAACAAACCCTCCAGAAAGTCAGGTGGCCTGTTCTGGAGAGAGGGAGAACTCACATAGGTACTAAGAAGGGGCCCCTGGATATGTCATTCTTGAGCTCAAGTCTATTTTACACCAAAATAAACTCACCAAGAACTTTATTTTACAGAACAGAAGGTCAGAGAAGACAAGGGGTTTTCCTGAGATACAGACACACAGGAATTGGCCCGTACCCTCCCCAGCACATATTTTTTAAGATGGGGGTTACAAAAGGATTATTCATTCTCTCTGGTCCCCCATGTCCCTTACAGTCCCTGAGTCACCCCTGCAAAACAGGGCGGTGGTGATCCCTTCCCTGCTGCCCACTGCGAGGTTTAAATGGGACGATGTGGATAGGACGCCTGTCCCACAGCACGTGCCTCACAGAAGTCACTTATCTTCACCCTCCTGAGTGGCCCTGGGCCTTCAGTGGAGGAACAGGGGTGACTCCACTTCCACACTCCTGGGGACAGAGAGAGAGAGAGAGAGAGCAGATGATCTTGCCCAGATAAGCTGCAGGCTCCTTCCTGCCTGGGATTGAATTCATGCAAAAGAAGTTCTGATTTCAGGCCCTGGGCTTTGGGGTGTTCCATGACCTCGGGCCGCTGCCCCCTTCCCCCTGGTAAGTTGGCCCCAACAGACTTTTTGAAGAAAATACCAAAAAAAGAGGGGAATTCAAAGCCATTGAGTGTGAAAATTAGCCCTCGAGGAGGGGCTCTGGGGCAGGGGTGGCCGGAGGGCAGTAGAGGGAGGTATGGCCAGGCAGGGTGGCAAGTAGCCCAATGATGACCCACACCCTGGGCGCAGGGAAGCTGCAGATGGAGGTGCTGAACTTGTTTCCCAGCAACTCGGCATTGGTGTGGCCTTGAAGCAACTATGGGGCAGAGCCCCTGCACCCCCAATTCCTTATATGACTGAGCAGACACTGCTCAACTGTGGGGAGCAAATGGGCTCCATCCTCTGCCACTCTCTCGTCTCAGGGCTTCCCTGCTCTCTCTGCAGAGGGATTCAGAAGAGGCCCTGCCGTGGGTAGAAAACCTGGGCGGTCTGTGGGGGGGTTCCTCCCCACCTACCCACCCTCACACTCACCCCACCATGAGATCACAGGACCTTTCCCATTCTCCGAAAATAGGCAGATGGGATTTTTTTTATTTAGTTTTTGAGTTGTGATGAACCTTTATTATTTATTTATTTATATGCGGTGCTGAGGATCGAACCCAGTGCCTCATACATGCCAGGCAACTGCTCTACCACGGAGCCACAAGCCCAGCCCAAATGGGCATGTTATGATGGAGATGCTGTAACCAACCCCACAGCATTTCATTTGTGCATCGGTCTCTTGTGAACCTGGAAAAAATGAGTTTGCTACCAAACCCTCTGCGCTAGTGTGTGCTGAATAACTCTGAACTTTCGGAATCTGGGAGTTCAAACTAGGGTCAACGACCTGAGAGATGAAAAATAGATTCACCTGCAAGAGAACAAACAAAAGTATTGCAAAGGTCAGCCCGACGCTGAGCCCATGGGGACATGGGGAATTACGCTCCCTCCCTCCCCTGACCGTTTCCCTGGGAGTCCAAGAACCACAGTTCTCCAAGCACAGAGCAGGCTTACCAAGGTGGGGGGATGCAGTCTGCCACACGTCCTCAATGTCCTCAACGCACGCGTGCAACTGGTAAGATCGGAGCTAAGTTGAGCCTGTTCAGACTTTCCCTGATGCCCCGGTGATACCCACATGGATTTAAGCCTCAGCCTCAGAGAAGGGAAAGGACTCTAAGAGATCCAATAAGAACACCTGGAATCCCAGTGATTTGTAATCTCAAGCTTGTAATCCCAGGGAGTCCAAGGCAGGAGGATCCCAAGTCTGAGGCCAGCCTCAGCAACTTTGCAAGGCCCTGAACAACTAAGTGAGACCCTGTCTCAAAATAAAAAGGGCTGGGGATGTAGCTCCGTGGTAAAGTGCCCACAGGTTCAGTCCCCAGTATCAAAGAAAAGAAAACCAAGGGGTTTCAGGATCTCTGACCACTCACTCTAAAACCAGCACCTTGGAGGCCTTCCATGCTTGGGGGCTGAGGTAGTCACCTCCATCTTATTTGGAAAAACACAAGACAGAAGTGGCAATGAACGTTGGCACCAGGGCACCCCCGATCCTGGGTCAGCAGGGGGGTTAGGGACCTCTGTTTCTCTAAAGAAGCCAGATACAAGCCAAGGCGTTCACCAAAGGAGCACAACACCATCTCTGCTAGAAATTGTCATTGTGTCCCCAGGCACTGTTATCCACGTGACTCACACTGGCAGGATCAGAGTCCCCGGGCTGCTCCCTCTGGGATCCATCCAGCCCTCCCTCGGGGCCCTTCCATCTCACAGCTGCCAGCACCAGCTCCCTGAATTCAAAATCACAAACCACACACCAGGAGGAAGAAGCCATCTCTTCCACATACTTCAGCATATGCCAGGGAGGAAGAGGATAATAGACAGAGACGGCCAGGCGTGGCGGCGCATGCCTGTAATCCCACAGCTGGGGAGGCTGGGGCAGGAGGATCGAAAGTTTAAAGCCAGCCTCAGCAATTTAGAGAGGCCCTGAGCAACTTAGTGAGACCGTGTCTCAAAATAAAAAGAGCTGGGGATGTGACTCAGTGGTAAAGCACCCCTGGATTCAATTCCTGGTACCAAAAAAAATAAGATGAAGACAGATTGAGACAGGCTCTGGATTCATTTGTCAAACTTATGGAAGTCAGGCTGGGCTCTACTTCAGTGATGAGGAAATGAAACAGCAATGGCCCCCCGGGGGCAGTGTTCTAGAACAACTTTTTCTCTCTTCTGTAAGCAGATACAGAAATACGTGTTGAACTAGTGCAACTAAGAACTGGCAAGTCACCATTTAAAGGGTCAAGAGCTGTATATGGTGGAATGAGATGATCCCACGCAATATGCAGAGAACCAAGATGAAGATCCAGTGTTCCCAGTGGCCCCAAGACTTGTAAAGGTAAGTCTGTCTCTCTTTTTCCCTCCCCCGCAGGCTTCAGCTTTTCTCAGAATTGCATGGTGGGGGAAGCAGTTGGATAAACTCTCTACCTTCCATACCCCTCCTCTCACATACTGGAATTTGATGACAGTCACATTTGGCATATTCTAAAGGATCGATCAGAAACACCCATCTCGGGCCCCCAGAGTGTAGCCACTCAAAAATGGGTCTGTTTTAATGCCTTTGACATTGACCCTATGAGGGGTTGGACCTGATTCTGCTTGTGTTTAAGCCAAGTAAGCAAACAATGTATTTACATTTAAGATTCCAGAAAATTGCCAGAATTTCTTTTATGTCTACTACAGAAGGAAAGGGGCCAAGCAACTGTGGATCCCAACACTGTCAAATCCAGCTGAGGCTGTTCAGGAAAACCTGGTTACCCTTATAATCATGAAATTTAAAATCATCATTAATTTTCACACAATGTTTTGCTTTAATTTTCACACTAACCATCATTTTATGACTTACATACATACTTGACATTATTGAAAGTCGCCCCCCCAAAAAAAAAGAATGGCAAAAGACTTTCAATGTGTACAACAAAAATAAAGAGAATCATTAAATTTATGGTCATCAAAAAAATCTATCTTTTTTAAAAATAGGTATTATTAGGAACTCTCAGATCCATGAAGACAGGAAGGAAACATATTCTTTAAAACATTTTTTTTAAGCTTTTTCTCTTGCTTAGAGACTGCCCGGGACAGACTCATGTTGCTGATGTTGTGATTATTTTTTTACGATCTGGCAGAGGCAGGGCTCCTATGCAGGTTCCTGGCTTCGTAGTTGAGTTCTCAGACCACAGCCGAAGTGTTCTCATGTTGAGAACGCAGGGCCTCGGGGAACAGGCTTCTCGTCTCCAAAATAGATCCTTCCCAACCATGGCGTGAAGCTTGTGAATGTTTTCACAATGACTCAGAAGCAAAGATTCCCCAGCAGAAGAGCAAGTCATATACAAACACCTGGCACCCAGACCCCCAGGCTTTGCTTCCTGTGCCACGGGCAGTCCCCAAGTCAAGATGGCCCCGGGGAAGTTGCCCAGGGAGCGTTAGAGACTAGAAACTGCCCTTGGAGACCTCCGGTCCCCTGGGGTTGGAGACAGTGAGAACCTCTTCCCCATCTCTCTTGTTTGTGTCTTCCATCCCCTGTTCACTCTCCAGTCACCACCTGTAATAGATTGGATCCATCAAAGGCCCAAAGTCTCATCCCAACCTGTCCCATACCTTGTCATATGACAGTGAAGTGTCCTCCTGCCCTATTCTGTCTCTGGGCCCAGCCAGGTGACTTTGGTGAATGGAATAGTAGCCCACATGACCCAAGCAGAGGCCACTTGTCCCTGTTTCCTGGTCTTCTGGGAGGCAAGACCCAGGTGAAGCCCA